GGTTCTATCAGGTGTTTGTGGCTGCTCTCATCCTTTCCCTGCTTGGTCTCTCCCAAGATTGTGGCTCCAGGAGCAGCTCAGTGTCTTGGATTAGAAAGCAATGGAGTAATTGTTTCTGCTACAAATTCCCCTAGCTGTAAGCCTTCCAGCCTTTAATATTCCTTTTTATGTGGTTCAGAGTTCTGGCACCATCCCCTAAGCCTGCTTGGTCTGGTATTCTATTTTGTTGCTAATGGAGCTCTTCACTGCACGTCTACCTGATCCTCCATTTTGTTTGTTCTCAGAAAATGGATTTTAAAGTTCTAAAGTATAGCTGTGTTTTACTTCTGTGTTTTACCCAATAATGTACATATCACAAAAGTTCCAGCTCTCGTAACTATTCCTTTTATAATATCTACATGGTACAAATTTAACTGCATAGAAAACTGACATGATGCAGCTTGGGAATACAGAATTTCATAGAATTTATTTTATGCATCGGGAAACTGGGTCAAAGGAGTGTTATAGTTTGCCTGAAGACCACCTCCTAAATAATTGCAGTAACCCAACTTGGAAGCTAAGGCTTCCGACACTATGCAGTGCTATTTGCAAGTATTTCAACTTACCTAGCTGCAACTGTCATATATTCAAGGCCTCTTAAGTTTCAGCTTTTGTTTTCTAAGTACTTGTGTCATTGCTGTGACTAGGTATAACAGTGAAGTAGCTTGTTTTGTTTGCTTATCGGTGACAAAATCTCAAGGCAATCTAAAAGGATTTCCTTGTGTTTGCCTAATTGAAAACTTGAATTCCACAGAAAAATTGAAAAGATAGTGTGTTAAAATTGGTTGTATGCTTGATCTAAATTAATCTGTTAACATTTTATTTCATTTGCTCACTATTGGAAAGTAAATTGTAGGCATCATGACTGTGAGGTGGTTATCTTTACCAATGGCATGTTGATACTATGCTGCTGTGTGCCATCAAGATTTTGTAGGGTTTCCGACACTGTAAATCTTTATGCAAGCAGAAAGCCTCATCTTTCTCCTGTGGTGTACTGGTAGATTCTGACTACTAACCTTGTAATTAGCATCTCAATGCATAACCCACTGTAGTACTAGGGCTCTTTGTTTAATACTATGTTGTTGCTCAATGCTATCAACCCAGTACTGAATCATAGCAGCCCTATATAGGGTTTCCAAGCGGTGGCTGCTGGGTTTGAACTGCCAACCATGCAGTTAGCAGTCCATTGCTTATCCAAGCATCCTACTAGGATGATCTTTTTTTGTCATCAACCATTACCCCATGGTTATAGAATCCTTTCATAATCTCTGTTTGGAAAAAAAAGGAGGGGGATTTACTCCTAATAATATTAAACAACAGTCAAGATTTTTTGCCAATTTTCCATGCTGTTATATCACTTTCCTAAGAAGTTAGTTTTAAACAATGTCTTATATTATTTTTAAACAATGTCTTATTATATTTTGACATAAAAAATGCAATTGGGAAATGTTTCCTTTCAATTGAAAGTACATTTTATCCCCTCAGAGCTGTTGGGGTCTGACCTCGACATAGTTGTGTTGTTCACGAGTGTTTGGTTCACGAGGAGGGGAGGAGATCCAGCGGCGATAGGGATAGCGAAAGAATATACAGACAAACAGAAGAAGGGAGACAATGAGGCACCCCAAAGCCAGGGT